CTAATTCAAGTTTTGTGCAAGAACGCATGATCGCTCCGGCTCGCCTGGTGCGTTCCAGCCTACGTTTCAAAGAACGACCGTTAAATGAAAATTGCGCATTTACTTTATGCAAAAATTTATGGTGATTTACGCTAGTGAGCGCAAGAGATAGGTGTAAAGCAATAAACATTCATGCAGTTAATGACCTGAGTACTCCAAGTCCGGTGCAAAAACGCATAATCGTACTGGCAAGCCTGGTGCGTTCCAGCTTGGGTTGCACTATGCTCGAAGCAATCAGATCGTTAACTATATGAATGGTTCTTGTTTTGCAGATAGCTCATGCGTTCACTAGCGTAAATCATAAATTTTGCATAAAGGGAAGTGAACAATTTCTGCTTAACGGTTGTTTTTGTGCGTTTTTGCTGTGCAGCGCTGTGGCGCCGCTACATTGAGCAAAAACGTATATTGTCGAGAGGTTTCTCGTGTGTGTGTGTGTGTGTGTGTGTGTGTGTGTGTGTGTGTATGTTCGGAAGCGAGTGAACATTGTCGCCCACTTTCAACTCAGCAGTCTAGGAAAGCTGGGAGACTGAAATTTTGGGGCCATATTCCTCCCTCCCCCTGTGTCACCCTCCCGTTTTAAAATCTTCGCTCATACGCACCTAGAAAAATATGCAGATTTCTCTGACAGGAAACAATTTCGCGAATCAGACAAGACAAAAAGCTGAAACCTTGCAGTGAATGTTCTGTGTGATTGTGTAAGCTAAAGCTTTCAAACTCAGAAAACGCGCGTGCCTAAAACACGCGTATGGTTACGTCAAAGATCGCAGTTGGCACTATGCTAACTCAAGAACTAGCCGAAAAACAGTAGCTAAAACTTTGTCAGAATAGTTTTTGTTCATATGGAAAATCGTATATCTAAATGAAGTTCCGATTTGCACTTGTGCCACGACTTAGGGCACTTCAAAGATATTTGTAGCGAAGTGGCTATTTCACTTACCAGACAAGCTGCGAAGCTGAAACTTTGTAGGGATGTTCTATACTTATGCATGGTTTTAACTCAGCTTGGAGGTGGAATTCCTTTTATGCATACATGATAAATACTCATTTTTGTCGTCAGTTCAAAAGCGAGTGTAATTTTACAGATTTCACAATCCTCTCCCGACTTCCTTCGAATTTACATTTTTTCAGTAAACAATCATTCACGGGAAAAACGATCGGTCTTCAAGCAAAAAGCTGATAATCATAGGCGTTAGAGGTCCGTGCAGCCCCATAATGCATCATCTTCATCCCAGTCGGCGCCCTTTTTCCTTTCATGCGGGAAGAGGTCAAAACACAACCAGTATAGGTCCAAGCAATCTGCAAGTTTAGCACAAAAACGCATGAACGCACCGGCAAGCTTGGTGCGTTGCAGCTTGGGTTTATTTTCATGAGAGTGCAAAGGCGTGGCGGTGTGCAAACCCTCCGTTCGTCCAGTTAGGCATTTCGATTGCCTCCGCGGGTCAGATTGAAACCGGTCACGGGCCAGATCCGGCGCGCACTCCGTCGGTTGCCCATATGTGACGTGGAGTGTTGTTTTTCATTTAATCACCTTTTGTCTTCATCCTGCATCACGAGAATGGACACTGGTGTTTTTACTTTTTATGTGCAGTTGTGCGGCTTCTTATTGCTCACTACTTATTTGATTTGTTTATGCGTTCTTGGTGCCAAATTTATGCGGGAAACGTGGTACAGCATGTTCTTGACTTGCTAACTGCTAGGTGTGTTCCCACACCGCTGAAGCTATTACCGATCTTACGTCGTGAAGTTGCTAAGGTCACAATTCATGGAAAAGTTACCACAGGCGCCGACCGGTCATAAACATGGACAAAAAGTGATAAGTGAAGTAAATTGATATGCTTGAGCATGCTAAGAGTTCAGTTTGCCTTCAACTTATATTCCAAGCAATGTGTCACAGTTTGTTGTCAATAAATTTGCCAAGATGGATGACAGATGATTTTTAATCAAAAGCTACCTAGCTGTGAAGGCAGTAACTTTGTGTCCAAATTTTGTGAAGTGGCCAAGCTTACTGGAGGGCTGATTTGTTGATGGAGTAAGGTGCGCAGTAATTGGACTGGGGAATTGTAAGATAGACAAGCAGGTTCACTGTGCGGACTGCGGCGTTTGAGAAAAAAGAACGCTAACTATAATATTCGCCGATCACCCTCAACGAATACGAAATCTAACCTATCTACATTTTGCTTATTAACAAAATTATGTTCAGGATACAGCTGGAAGCTGAAATCCCACCAAATTCCTCTTTCAGCTACAAATGAGCAAACTCATTCAATTGCATTTTACAACCTCGGCATTAATTTGTATGCGTTTTTGCACGAATCGAAAGTACTTCTTAATAAATTTATATTTGCTTATGCTTGCATGTTCGCCTACATGTAATTAAGCACGGTGCATGCATGAGTTATATTCACAAAAATACTTAAATTGATTTTCCAGCATATATACCGGAAAATCGATATGCCGTATATATATATATATATATATATATATATGTATATATATATATATATATATATATGTACTGGTGCACGGTGCCTATACGGTATGTATATATATATATATATGTACATATGTATATGGTATGTATTTCGGTACACGGTATATGTATATATATACATACATACCGTATGCCGATATACCGATATACATACATATGTATATATATAAGCAACCTATATGTGTATAGGTTGCTGTTGGAACAGGCAGTCTTCTGCTATTCGTCCATTCATTTCAGTGGTAAACTGTCACTGTTTATAAACAAGCCCGGCCAGCTGCGGGTTGCTGTTGGCAGTTACTGCCACTCAGGCTACTTCTCGTGTGCCTCCATTTCTCACAGACAGCGACTGCAAAGAGACTTTTGACTGTGAATTTTGTTTAATCCAAACGTACAATCCAACACGAAGTTTATATTAGACCAAGTGGATCCACAAAGTAAGTTGGAAACATGCAGTCAAACTAAAAGCATTTGTCACATTTCCAAGAATCATGCAGCCCAACTGAGAACTTTACTGCTGCAGAACGCCAGCAATGGAGAGTTGAAAGAAGATGACCTGCGTGGGATTTTCAAAGAATTCGATTTAAACGGCGATGGGTACATCCAGAAAGATGAACTGAATGCAGTGATGCTAAAAATGGGTCAGTGTCCGACAGATGATGAGCTAAATGCAATGTTCAGTGCTGCTGACAAAGACAGGGATGGAAACATTGACTTCAGCGGTATTTGTTATTCTCTTTCTGTGCTTATGTCGGTAGCATCGTTCCTGAGGTTGACGTATACAAATATATCCATTTGCTTCTATTCGATGTTTGATGTTCGAAGATAGTGAGCAAAACGGAAGTCTGCAGGCGAGAAAGCTGGCACAGTAGGAAGGAAGCCAAGCACTGATAAGTGAGGTGTGTCGTTAGCTTATTCCAGATTATGATATTACGAAAACACCTGAGGTCTAAATGCATGAACTCCCTCTTTCTAACTAAAATAAATAGCGGCGCGCATCAGGATAGCTGGTGAAATCATGCGTTTTGTGCAGCCCTGTCCAGTGAACGGTTGCGCGATTTTGTCCGGCAGATGCTTTTGCAAGGCTGTCCATCTGACGCCTGTGCAACTCTATTCAGGGGAACCTTGTTGTTAAAAGTAGCCCCTATATTGCTGCTTGACACGCTAAATGTTAATTCTGTCGCCAAGACTTTACTGTTTGCGGCTTCCAAGTAATTAATTTTGGTGCTAAAACTTTCACTTGCCCGCACGTGAGGCCTAGGTATGCGCAGAAGTGAATTTGTACATAGGATAAGGAACACTTTCGTAGAATTTCAGTCTCCTAACTTTTGTGGTTCTGGAGTTATTAATTTCGGCGCCAAAACTTTTATGCATCCATGCCTAAGAATTAGGTGTGCGCAGAAACTGAATCTATACACGGGCAGAAGCATCATTCTGAAGTTTCAGCTCCTTAGCTTTCCTGTCTCCCAATTTATTAATTTTGGCGTCAAAACTTTCACTTGCCCATATGTGAGGTCTAGGCGCGAGTGAAGTCTGAATTTAAATTTAATTAGGTCACATGCAGGCAAGGAACATACTCCTGGAATTTCAGCTTCCTATCTTTTGTGCTTTCTGAGTTATTAATTTAGGAGCCAAAAATTCACGTGACGTCCCTTAAAATTTCAGCTTCTTTGGCTCCCACGTTGAAACCCCTTGGATGAAATGCAATAGGAATATACACACGCAGACATAAATGTGCATACGCACACATACAGACACACACGCGCAGGGCCCCGACAATATGCGTTCTGTGTAACTGTTACCGCACAAAACACATGATATTCTCGCCTTGCTGAACGCTCCAGCAGATAAAAAAAAGAAATCATTGGCGACGCGCACTAGGGAGCCCGTGCGATCATGCGTTTTTGCAGTGTTTCGTGCTGTAATAAGATCACTTGAAATTCCGCTAGCTAGAAATCTCTGGCATACTGGTCCTCGAATTTCGGGAAGTTAATTGTCTACGCTATACTTGGACAGGGGACATTCCCTTGAAATCTCAGGTTCCTAGCTTTCTCGGTTCCCGAGTTACCCATATTCCAGCCAGAAAATTTCACGGGGCCGTACGTGGCAACCACGCGTAGCGGAGGGCTGAATTTGGTAAATTTAAGTTGCAAATGAGTTGGGAACATTTCCTGAAAGTTTCAGCCTTCCAGCTTCCCTAGTTCCAGAGTTAGCCATTTTCCAGCCAAAAACTTTCACGGGACCGCACGTGATAACAACGCATAACGGGGACTGAATTTGATAAATTTGAGTGCAGATGAACTGGGAACATTCGTTGAAAGTTTCACCCCCCCCCCCCCCCCCCCCCCCCCCCCC